GGGGTGGAAAMCTGGATGAGTTTTGAGGTCTTTCCAAACCAAATCAAATCTGGGATTCTGTGAGGATCACAAAAAAGAGGTGGGAAGGGGAATGGAAATGGAAATGGGGACTGTGGGATTAGGGATTGGGGAAGGGGGAATGGAAATGGGGAATGTGGGATGGGGGAATGGGAGAATGGGGAAATGGGGATGGGGGAATGGTGAATGGGTTTGGGGAACGGGAATGGGGAACGGGAACGGGGAACGGGGGAATGGGGAATAGGAAATGTGAAGGGGGGAATGGGGAATGAGAATTGGGAAGGGGAATTGGGAAGAGGACCACCAGGAGAAACGAAGGACCCCAGGCTGCAAGGGGGACCACGGGAGGCAGGAGATTCCACAGCAATCCTCATAAATGATGGATGGTGTGGGTGCTCGGATGGCTGTGGTGCCAACYGGGCATCACCTGAGTGCCACAAACCGGACCTGAGCTGCTGGGAGCAGGTCCCTCCRCTTTTTTGGGAAGCCAAGGGACTTGTCAGGGCATGCACGTGCCCTGCTCCCATCATATGAGGCCCTGCAAGAGCTTTCTCCTTCTTCCCTTCCTAAAATCCCAAAGTTTATTTATGGCCACAGCACCACAATAAATGACCAGCAAAGCCCCACAGGCTGGTGACACCTTCAGCTCCTTTAGGGACAGGACTCAGCCCCAGCACCTCCACCAGGGTTGGTTTCTCTCACCCCTCCAGCCTCTCCCAACCCTCCCAGGGAACAATTCCTAATTCCCAAAATCCCAKCTAAACCTCMTATCTTCCAGTTTAAAGCCATTCCCTGCATCCTATCCCTCAATCCCTTGTCCCCACTCCCTCTCCAGCTCTCCTGGAGCCCCTTTGGGCTCTCTGAGCTCTCCCTGGATCCTTCCCTTCTCCACCCAGCTCTCCCAGCCTGGCTCCAGAGCAGAGAAACTCCAATTAAAAATCAGAAATCCATTTTCCAGTGGGTTGATCCCTTCATTTCAAAGCTGACCCATCCCTGGTCATTGGAGAAGTCAATGGGCTACAAAACTTCCCAGGGCATCGCCATCTGTGACAGGGACACAGGGAATGGCTGKAGCTGTGCCAGGGCAGGTTTAGGGTGGATTTTGGGAAAGGTTCTTCTGTCCCCAGAGGGTGCTGGCACTGCCCAGGCTCCCCAGGGAATGGGCACAGCCCCAGAGCTCCAGGAGCGTTTGGACAGTGCTGCCAGGGATGGGATTTTTGGGGGTCTGTGCAGGGACAGGGATTGGATCCGTGATCCTTGGGGTCCTTTCCACTCCATAATCCCATAAAAACCCACCCCACACTCCCCAGCATCCCCTGAGCAGCCTCCCGAGGGGCAGCCTGCAAAGCTCAGGTGTTTCCAGGAGGGATTTTGGGCAGGTGCCCAAGCTGAGCTCAAGATTTGCATTCCCTCCCGTGCCAGCTGCCGTCAGAATCCACCCACGGAGCCAGGAGGACGCAGCTCCCAGACCACTTGAAAACAACGCGGCTGAGGAAGATGCAAATTCCCCAGCTGCCAGCTCCCTCCACCAAAAAACCTCTCGCCATGTCATTATTAACATTTTTCCCCCTAAAAAAAAAAAAAAAAATAAAACCTTACACGGTGTCTCAACCACCTCCTTAACATCCACACAAACTCTTGTGAGCAACCCCACCGGGTTAAAATAAATATTTTAGCTCGGCAAATAGCTTTTCCCCTCATTAAAAGGCAAACATAATTAGGAACGTGGAGCGCTGCTCCGGCTTTAGTTGATTCAAAGTAACGAAGCTGCTATTTTTGAAAAAGCACATTCCCTTCCCTGCCTGAGCAGGGTTATTTTGGAAATTTATATATCCATGGAAAGCTGGCGTCTCTGCCTGCAAAATCCCCCAGGTCGGGAGCAGGGAAAAGAGAGGAAAGTGAGGAATTTCGTGTGAAAAGTGGGAATTTTCTTGCTGTGAGTGACCACGGGGGTAAAACTCATGTGGGAAGAGAATGGAGACTGGAAAGGGGAGGGGATCGTCAGAGAATCGTGGATGGTTTAAAGTTCATCTCGTGGGCAGGGAGATTTCCACCATCCCAGGTTGCTCCGAGCTCYATCCAACATTTCCAGGGATGGGGCAGCCACAGCTTGTCAGGGCAAGCTGCTCCTGAGAATAGGAGGAAAAAGCAGAAAAAAAGCAGGGGAAAAGCTGGGGAAAGAGGGGGGAAAGAAAGGGGGAAAGCAGGAAAAAAAGCAGGAAAAAAAAGCAGGGGGAAAAACAGAAAAAAAAAAAAAGCAGGGGGAAAAGCGGGGAAAAAAAAGAAGCAAAAAAAAACAACAGGAAAGGAGAGAAGAGCTGCCCCCAGAGATGCTGTCCCCTCTGCAGGGTCTGGTACCAACCCCGGTGTCCACATGAAATATGAACACTCCCAGGATCCCAGAATTATTGAGGCTGGAAAAGCCCTCTGAGGACACCAAGCCCACCACGAACCCCTGCGAGAGCCTCAAGCCATCCCAGCAGGATGTAATTCTCATAATCAAGGAATTTTTTGCTTTTTGAGCAAAACCAAGCGTCCCCTTGCCGCAGTCAGGCASGGGGAAATCGGGGAGGAATCCTAATTCCGGAGAAAAGCGGGATCTCACAGCACCCAAGCACAGCCCCCGCCCCAACTCCCGCCGCTCCGCTCGGCGTAACCCAATTATTAACGTGTAATGTATACATTAATTAACAGCCGCGGCTTAATCATCGCGAATCTCAGGGAGAATTAGCCTGGAACGAGGGGGAAAAGCGGGTGATGGGCATTCCACAAGGCGGGGATGCTGCGCTAGGAATTTGCATCCGCCCCATCCCACAGCTCCTCTGGGTTTTGGGGTTTTGGATGGAGAGAGGGCAGAGGAACAAAATAACGTCACTGTCACCGCTTACCCCCGGTACCAAACTCATCCCGAGCGTGAGAAACATTGAGTTAGTCCCAAAGCAGCCAGGAATCCCMAAAAAAATGGGTAATCCCAGGAGCACATCACACACCCGCGCAACCCCACACAGCGCCGGGAGCAACAGTTGGGAAAGCGAACCCGGCACGGAATTCATCCCTCGCTCCCAAATTGTCGCCCCCGGGCATCGGCGACACCACGGCCAGACCCCGCTGGGGAAATCCTCCCGGAAAACAAACGGGGGTGGGATGTCCATCCGAACAGCCCGAACKCCCGGGAAGGGACAGGAGCCATCGCGGAGACCGCCGGGAGCACCGGGAAACGCGGGCGCGCTGCGGGTGACACCGGTGACAGCCCAGTGTCCCCATCCCCAGCGGGACCTGGGGGACACCCGCCGAGCCGCACGGTCGCCATCTGCCAGGGAATGGGGACAGCGAGCCACGCGTGACACGGGCACGGTGACAGCCGCACACGGCGGGGACACRGCGGGGACACRGGCACAGCGACGGCGCGACACACCCGGTCACACACGCAGAGGGGACATAAAACACAGGCAGGGGGCATAAAATTCACACAGGGACATAAAATACACCCAGTCACAAACGCAGGGGACATGTGATATGTCACACACGACACAGTCACACACACACGCGCTGGCACACAGGACACACGACAGTCACACTCRGACACAGGACACAGACACACAAAGGACACTTCACACGCGGTCACAAGCACGGTGTCACACGGGGCACTTCCATAGTCACAAACAGAGGACACTTCCACAGTGTCACATTCCAGTCACACACACAGAGGACACTCAGAGTGTCACACACACACCGTGTCACACGGGGCACTTCCATAGTCACATAGAGGACACTTCCACAGTGTCACACACAGTCACACACACACAGAGGACACTCAGAGTGTCACACTCACAGTGTCACACACACAGGGGACACTTACACGGAGAGTCACAGTCACACAGAGGACCCTTACACAGTGCCACACACACACAGGGGACACTTATAGTGTCACACTCACAAAGTCACAGACACACATTGTCACACACACACAGAGGACACTCACACCCAGCCGCAAGCACACACACACCGTGTCACACGGGGCACTTCCACAGTCACACAGAGGACACTTCCACAGTGTCACACACAGTCACACACACACAGAGGACACTCTCGCAGTGTCACACACAGTCACACACACACAGAGGACANTCACACACGCAGAGGGGACATAAAACACAGGCAGGGGGCATAAAATTCACACAGGGACATAAAATACACCCAGTCACAAACGCAGGGGACATGTGATATGTCACACACGACACAGTCACACACACACGCGCTGGCACACAGGACACACGACAGTCACACTCGGACACAGGACACAGACACACAAAGGACACTTTCACACGCGGTCACAAGCACGGTGTCACACGGGGCACTTTCATAGTCACAAACAGAGGACACTCCCACAGTGTCACATTCCACAGTCACACACACAGAGGACACTTACAGTGTCACACACACAGTGTCACACACAATCTCACAAACGCAGGGGACGCTTACACGGAGAGTCACAGTCACACAGAGGACCCTTACACAGTGCCACACACACACAGGGGACACTTACAGTATCACACTCACACAGTCACAGACACAGAGGACACTCACAGCCAGCCGCAAGCACACACACACAGTGTCACACGGGACACTTCCATAGTCACACAGAGGACACTTCCACAGTGTCACACACACACAGAGGACACTTCCACAGTGTCACACATACACAGAGGACACTTCCACAGTGTCACACACAGTCACACACACACAGAGGACACTCGCACACCCTCCCAGGCTCTCGCACCCTGGCTCACACTCACACCCTCCCCAGCCGCCTCCCCGCGCTCCGCGCTGGCTCAGCCCCGACCCTCCACCACCGCCCGCCCGCCCGGCGCCGCCGCCRSCGCTACAAACTTTTCCCCGGCGGCGTCGGGAGCCCGCGGGGAGCCGCCCCGGTCCCCGGTACCCCCCGGGTGCCCCCGCATCCGCCCGCTCCCGGCTCTCACCCGCGCCCGCTCCGCCGCCGGGACAGACGGGACCAGCGGCACCGGCCCCGCTGCGCTCCCGGGCGCGCCTCCGCCGGCACGGGCAGCGCGCGCCCGCCTCCCGCGCTGACGTCACGGGGCGTGGCACTGGGCGTGGCCGGGGGCGTGGCCGAGACGAGAGGCGGGAGCGCGGGGGGCGTAGAACACGTGGGGAGGGGTCGGGGAGGGAGGACGGTGTGGGGAACGGGAACGGGGATGGGAATGGGGAACGGGGATTGCAAACGGGGATGGGAAACGGGGATGGGGAAATGGGATGGGGAACGGAGAACGGGGATGGGGGACGGGAATGGGAAACGGGGATTGCAAACGGGGATGGGAAACGGGGATGGGGGAGCGTCCTTGCGCGAGGGGCGATGGGCGTGCAAAGCGCGTGTGTGCAGAGGGGTGTGCGTGTGCAAAACGCGGGGGTGATGGCCGCTGTGAGAGGGGCAGTGTTTGTGCAAAAGAAAAATGCACGGAGTGTCCTTGGGCAAAAGACCRGGTGTGTGACTGTCCCCGTGAAAGGAGTAGTGTTTGTGCAAAATAAATGTGCACAGGAGGAGTGTAATTGTGCAAAACATGGGGGGTGATGGCCCCTGTGTGAGGGGCAGTGTCTGAAAAAGAAAAGTGCACAGGGGGAGTGTAATTGTGCAAAACATGGAATGTGTGACTGTCCCCGTGCAACAGTGTTTGTGCAAAACTTGAATTCCTTGGGTTAACCACGGTCAGAGAGTGGCTTCCCAGCTTGCCTCGGCACCCAACACCAAAAAAGGGGGTTGTGTTCCTTAAAATCCCATAGATTAAGGGACCATCCCGCCCTGGGGTTGTGCAGGGTCACCACAGCAGGACYGGGATGGACACGAGGTGCACCCAGAGCTGGTGGCCACCGACACCGCCCCGGTGACCATCTCCTGCTGGATGGCCCTTTGGAGAAGCAGCTGAGTGAGAAATACGGGAGCAGATGGGCCCAGGCCAGGCGAGCCGCCGCTCTGCCCACCCCCTCCTTGTTTTTTCCTGGGTTTAATCGGGATCTGATGATTAAATTTCCTCTTCCTGGTKCTGGCTCCTCCTCAGCGGGGCAGAAGGAGACGGAGCTTTGGCCAGGCCGAGACTGGCTAGCAGCGGGGTGGCCACGGGTCCTTGAGTGGCCAGAACCCATCCCAGGGGTCAGCTGGGAATTCCCAAACCTTTTTCTGGTTCCCCAGGATGAACCCCATTGAGCCACCTCAGAGCAYTCTTTTTTTGCATCGTTATTTTAGGAGTTTTGGGGTTTCTAATGATAACCAGTTCTCTGATTGCAATGGGGCATTTCCATCCCAGTTTTGCCAGTAGGAAATTGTTGGGATGGYACCTGGGCCACCTGTTGGGATGAAGCTGGGCCTTGGCACCGAGCCTAGGGTGCTCCTGTCCCTCTGGTCCTGCAGGTGGTGTGCAAAATTCTCGTTAAAAATCAGGATTTGAATTACTGAAAGGCTGTTTCATTCCCATTTTCCATCCCTGCTGTGATTCCCCATCTTTTGGATGCTGGAAAGCCCAAAATAACTCCTGGATCACCCSGGGCTGGCACCTGGGGTGGCTTTGGGGACAAAAGTGTCTTTTCCAATGGGCTGGAGGGAGTGTAGGAGCATCCCTGTGATCCCTTGGGTGAAACCACATTTCCAGGTGGGAAAACTGTCCTTGGACAGGGTTAAAAATCGGCAATTTGTGCTCCCATCCTGGGAGCAGCTTTCCTGATGCTGAGGATGCGCCGTGGGCATGATGAGCATTCCATCTGCATCCATCCCRCTGTGTTTTAGGGGCATCTCGAAGTTCCCAGGAGCAGCTCAGAGAGAGAAAGGGGATCTTGGTCATAGAATGGACCAAAATCTGTGGTGTGGACTAAAAATCCAGGATGTGGAGCAGAATCCRTGGTGTGCCAGGAAGCAATACCGGGGAACAATTAGTCCTGCACAAAACTCCCTAACAAGGCCAGGCTTCTCTGTGGAATTTTTTTCTGGAATTCTGTCTTGCAGGAAYTCCACGGTGAAGTTCGTTTCTCTGTGGCGTTTCTGAGGAACAAATCTGGCTGGGAATTGCATTCCAAAACACCGCTGCATCCCAAAGCACCGCTGCATCCCAAAACATTGCTCTGTCCCAAAATACTGCTGCATCCCAAAACACCGCTCCATCCCAAAACACTGATCCATCCCAAAATGCTGCTCCATCCTAAACCACTGCTCCATCCCAAAACACTGCTGCATCCCAAAACACTGCTGCATCCCAAAACACTGCTGCATCCCAAAACACTGATCAATCATAAACACTCCCCCATCCCAAAATGCTGCTGCATCCAAAAACACCATTGCATCCTAAAATGCTGCTTCATTCCAAAATACCACCCCATCCCAAAACAGTGTTCCATCCCAAAACACTGCTGGATCCCAAAACACC